ATAAATTTTAGAAAATACTTGAAAAAAGAGCCCATAATTTTACCCTTTAAAAGATCTTGACAAGTTAAGTCTAATAAAACGGCACTATGCGTAAAACATTACTACCTTCTTGACTTGCAGAAATCATACAAGCAAAAATACATTTACAAATATATATTTTTTCACTATTTTCTAACTCACTGTAATTGTAATCCGATTCAGAGAGCCTATCTTGGCCTACGTCAAGCTGAAATTGAACTTGTTCATTGACGTTGACAAGTTCCTTGGGATCACAATGTTTGGCAGACAAACTGAAAACATTGCCCGTTTTGCAACTTTCTACGCTCAACTTTCCATTGCGGCATAGCATAAATTTTCTACAATCAAAAGGATGCGGATATAAACCAGATTGACCTTGAGGGCAATCGAGCGGCTGACCTACGTAGTTCCGCGCTATAAATTGTTTTCACATGGAAATTTTTATGTAAGCGTCTTGAACATTTCATATAAATAATTAAATAAAAAACAACAAACACTTACAATCTCTGATTTCGGCATTCGGATTGGCTGCCACTGCATTGCGCACACGATCGCCAATATTCACTTCACTTTCCGGGCGACATGCCATCGCTGATATACTGAAAACCTTATGCGACCCGCATTTGTCAATCGACATGCGTCCTTGCCGGCAAGTAATAAACTTTGTAGAGTCATATGGATATAAATGATTGCCATCCGTGTTCGGTGGACAACTGACCATCGTCGAAGCTGTGCGGTAGGTAGATTAGTGATGAAAATTTTATGTGAAAACACTCAAAAGTCGGGACTTTTCAGCACTTACGCAATTGTTGCTGTTCAGATATGACGTAATCGACGTGATCGGTGTAGTGCGTTTTTTCTTTGAGATCACAGTAATTCCTCGATATGCTGTACACTGACCCAGGCATACAGTTTTGTATGGCCGTATTACCGAGTTTACAGTTCAGGAATCTCGTATAGTCGAATGGATGTGGAAAGAGGCCAATTACGCCTGGTGGGCAGAAAATATCGCCTTCTTTGTTAGCGGTCGAGCCGTTCTCCTCACCTCTGGTATTGTCATAGTTGTTATTTTCTTAAAATACAATTTATTTGTATTTTATAAATATTTCTGGATATCGTTATACACTGCCGGAGAAAAGTATTGGCACAGCGAATTTTTTACAATATATGCAACAATTTTTATTCTAATATTTTTCCGCTATTTTTTTACAAATAATTATAAAGTTGAAAATTTGCATGAAAATTTTAGCGAGTTTTGCACAGTTGCAGTTGAGCAATAAAATTTTTACATTTTTATAAAAAATTGGCGGAAAAATATTAGAATAGAATTTGGTGCATATATTGTGAAAAATCGCTGTGCCAATACTTTTTTCCGGCAGTGTATGTACATATGAGCCTAAGGAAAAAGTATTCATGCGATCCCGTATAATAGATTTTATGTGTACACATGTTGTTAATACGAAGCATAAGCCAAACGAAGTTTTTTATTAAATTTTCGGCAGTATTGAAAAAATTTGATTATGATTCCATGCATGCAAACCACTTGCTATTGATTTGTTTTTGTTAGTACTATATTCCATGTTATTTTCAATTGTAGTACGGATATTTTTTTTTATCATGTTTCAAGTTTTTTTTTTTGAGAACAAAGTCGGTTCTAGATTCAACAGCTTATTATAGGTACTGTTAAAAATATGATTTGTTCAATAAAATTTTTCTTCTGAAAGTTTGGCTATTTTTCTAAATTTGGGTATTTTCGGTATAAAGCATATTTTTATAAAAAATAACAAAACTTTTGGACATTAAATGTCTTCATGTGGATTTATTCATAGGTTGAAAAATGAATGCAGTGGTAAATTTTTAACCGACTTCAAAAAAGAAGGAAGTGTGTCAATTTATCGGATTATTATTTTTATGTACATATATATGTATATATGTTGGTAGATTACTTCGGTCCACGTGAACCATTTTCCATAATAACGAAAATGTGGTACTTCATGGGTGGTCCCATACTATTTTGGTTTAGCACCGATCATGGGATCATAAAATTAACGGTACTCCTAAATTTAAAAAAATTACAGTTATGTACCTGTAGTTAATTTTTGATGACATTTTTTTTGTGATCAATTTTTTAAACTATTTACACATCATTGAGTGGAAGATCGCCCTATCTTGACTGCCGGATCGAAAACGCCATATCTCAGCAGAAGGTTGAAGAACGACCTTTTTCAGAATTTCGTTGAAGAACGCCCTATCTCAGCTACCGCTTCGAAAACAAATTCACTGGACGATGCTCTAGGATCCCAATGGACTTTCCGCCTATACGATTCCAGTTGTGCTTGAATGGACGCAGTTGATTGAACTGCTTACTGGATTCAGCACATTTAAATAAGTTTTAATTTATAAGCACTAAGAAAGCTATCGATGTGTTAGATCTCAAATAAAATACCTAATGGCAATCAAGCAGTAGCTATGTATATAGTATTTCTTAGAAACGTTCAACAGAACAGAATCAAATTAAACTTGAATTTCAAGTTTAAAACTTCACGAAAATTCAGGGCAGTTAAACTGGATAATAGCTAGCTAGAATTGATGTCTATTCCGTGCCGGATTGAATGAAGAACTTTGGTTTTTGTTTTACAGGCTTCAGACTAACAACCGACATTCCAAGTTAAACCTTATATCCTGGGAAAATTACTTGATCTAGAAAAACAGATTCGTAATCTACGACTCAAAAATTAAGTTTACGGGTTTCGGCGTTTTTTTTTTGTCATTTTAAAACTTGAGATTTTCCCTGTAGTGATTATTATTCTTTTCCAAAAATCAAAAAAAAAACAGCTTCGAGAAAATCGTGTTATCTCTGCCTAATTTAGTTTAGAGTAGTTTTCACAGTGGCGAATTACGAAGAATGACGACTCCCAGAGACTGTTCTCGATGCCCTAGCTCATGTGGGGCTGGTTCACAATTTTATAGATCACCTTTTAGGCAGCAGTCCGATATCTTCGGGGAGGTATCTGTAACAAGATAGGCGAACCGCGGCCACCCCTCAAGGCAATGTACTTCCTCTTCTTCTTTGGAATCTAACGGGAATGGACATGTTCGATAGGGAAAAAATTGAGCTTAAAGCCTCACGCTTTGAACTAGATGTACACAGCGGTTACAAAGGCTTAAAAGGTGGCAGACAAAACCCCCAGAGACTTTGCTTCACTTTCTATCTGTGTACTTATATGGTTAACTACAGGCAAGTTGTAATGCTTTTAGATTAAACGCGTTCATGAAGTGGAGTGATACGTGGTTCGGCCACTCGACTAGAATTTTGGAAGATCTTTCGGCAGAGTTCAGGCGCCTTGACAACACAGTCTCGCCCACCAGACTGAGGAATCATTTGCAAACACAGATACCCCAAGGGGGGAATGCGAGCAGAATTCGCTCCTGATCTCGTACTCTAATTCAACAACCATCTACGCTGCAAGTTCAATTTAAAAGTTTAAGTGGGGTATACTTGCCAGAACTCTCACTTCATCTTAGTTGTCGTCTGCCCAGATCTATGCAGCCTCTTTCATGCTGAACTAATAGTAACCAACGAATTTGCAAGATGGTTAATCGATTATTGTATAGCTGTCCGGCTATAAAGACATAACGGACAACTGTGTTGAGGATGATCTAGTAAGAAACGAAACCTTACTGTCTGAAAGCGGTACCGCTCATAATGCGTGGATTCCGCTATCTTCCTGCAAATTCTGACTGGAGAGGAACTTTGTCGAAAAGGCAAATGCAATATGGTCTGCGGAGACTACGTGGATAAGCATAGACTTCGCACTCTCCTCGGCTTAGAGCGACCACTGTTCCGACATGTAATTAGCGTTCTCACTGGGTACTGCCTGATGAGAATCCACGCTATTAGAATGGGTAGCAGTTAAACGATTACTGTCGTAGCTGCCATCATGTAGTGGAAATTTTGAAAGAATTGGCGAGGTTCGTTCCTATATTATTCTATTAGATTCAGTCAGTATGTTCGATTTTTTGAGCTTTTTTGGCATTACAATAGGCCGATGGTGATTTCAGTGTACCCTCCCTTCTGGCGCTGGATGAGGCCAGCCCAGATAACCTAACTAAACCTAACTCTCGTTGGGTCAAATATACCCCGTAAAAATTAGCCTTAGTGGTCTAAGAAAAAAATCCTTTTTTATGGTACAGATACACTTTATTTTCTTTACCCCGAACAAATCTGAAAACCGGAAAGTATTTTTGATACAAATTTTGAGATGTTGCCTTTATTCTAGTTGAAAGGGATATTCTTATTATCACATTGAATTAGAATCAGGATGATTACGAATAAAGGTTATATGTACTTTTGTGCCCATGCATATACAAAAGAAAAATAATTTAAGTATAAACACTTACCATACTGACGTCCATCTCGACTATTCAATGCCCCATTTCCACCATTCTCCCGACCACTGCAATCCACTTTCTCCTTAAAATCACACGTCTTCATTGAAATGCTGTAAGCAGTGCCGGGTCCACAGTTTTGTACATGCGTATTACCATTAGCACAATTCAAAAACTTCGTACAATCCGTTGGATGTGGCGCCAAGCCATTCACGCCTGCAGGACAAAGCGAATCCACATTACCTGTGCTGACATCTACGAGTCGACCTGCACGATATTTATTAGGATTCGAAGCCGTCTGTAGCGTTGTTTGCCTCACGTTCAGCTCACTGCTAACTCCATTTACGCCCGGTGTGCCACATACCACCTTATCAGGGCGATCACATTCGAGTGTTTCAGGATTAAAAACTGTACCTGGACCACAACTCTGTATGTGGCCGCGACCATGCCAACAGTTTACAAAACGACGACAATCATACGGATATGGTACGGGCCCAGTGTGTTGTGGCGGACAGCCACTATTGTAGTCGCCTATTGAGTTCTCTGTCCCACTCCAAGCACTCTCCACTTGTCGCTCTGAGGGCGGCGAATGACGCACGTGCGCTGGGCGATTAAATATCGGTTGCTCGCGTTGCTGATAAGACTCGGCTTGTTGTGGGTTTGAATGTTGCTGCTGCTGCTGGTGCTGTTGTTGCTGCCTGCGCGGCCCATCAGTGTGTTGGTGAGAATCGGGTGGTGATAACCTCAATGAGGGGGCACCGTAATTTGTATTATCATAACTGGGGCTAAACCTGGAGTCGCGAGGATTTTGTTGTTCAGCATTTGGCAAGTCTCGATGGTAGGATCTTGTTTTGATACCCGAATTAACTGGGTCATATGTCTGAAAATACAATATGCAGTTTTGAATTAATATATGTATACAGCTGCAAGCAGGTGTCTGTCTTAAAGTAAGCAACATTAGCCCAAGCTTTGGTTATGCACTGAGTTTGGGGACCGCTACGTAAAATAAGCTTCCACCGTTCTTTTGATACGACCACGGCGAACGGTTACAGGGCCATGATTTGAGATTATGCACCGGACCATTGATGTGGCCCTCTACCCGGCCGGTTGATGCCCTCGAAAAGACAAAAGCTGACATGTATCCAAGAACCGGGATGGATGGGGCGAGGTAGTTATTATGCAAACGAGTAACGCAAAATAGACCACCCTAGAGGTCGCAGTGCCCAAGTCTCATAAAAATAATATGCAAATGTGTACAAATTTGGGGTGTAAGTAGCTAAATACTGTCATTCACCACGCTGAAAGCGAGATGGGTTGAAAGAGGGAAAGGTACCAAGGGGTCTGCTCTGTATTACGATTCGAAACTCAATGCGATTCGAAAGGCGACAGGGACAGGGATAGAAATTCATAGTGCCAAGTATTCGAATCCGAAAGATTTGCTTGCGAATCGCAATACAGAGCAGACCCTCAAGTGTCGTAAGATCTCTTTCGAGCGCTAGCTACGACCGAATATTAAATTAGTGCTTAGTAATTTTAAGACCAAGGTGGGCAAAGAATGCATCTTTGATTAAAAAATCTGAAAATTTAGCCTCCTCGCGGAAATTTCTGATATGGGATTGAAGTTCATCGACTTCGCTGGGTATCAAAATATACAGCACAAGATTCCCGCATAAGCGTCAAGCTACATAGTGGCCTCCTGATCGAAAAACGATGAGCCAAATCTGCTATGTTGTGATAGATGGAAACCACGCTTGCAGTGTTTTGGATTTACGTACGCGCCGAGGACCGATCTTCGACTCAGACCACTAACTTGTTGCAGCCAAGATAAGTGCATGCCTCTGAGCTCCCAGTCGATGACGACGGAGCCGATGTCTCATCGCCCTACGAGGGATGAATAGCAAGTCGCCTGACCGATGCGCTACTCAAGTTCGGGGACAAAGACCTGGTAAGGTATATGTACTGCATCAATTTTAATGCGGGATATGGTCGGCCCAATCCACAAAAAAAAACGTTCTGGGTTCTTCGATACCAAACGATATTGAGGTTTTATATCAAATGACGTCTTAAAGTTTTAAACGCGGGTCGCTGTTCTGGTATCAAAGCAATGAAATGACCAAGTCGAGACGGGCTTGGCTTCACTAAATAGGCATTTCCAATTGGCGTCAGTTCAGACAAAAGGGGACTACTGGCGTGCTTTATAAAATCGCTTTGGCGATTTCAGCGCAAATTACTAATAAAAGGATAGTCAAAAAATCGTTGCATATACTAAGGCGCTAATTGAAGTAGCAAGTACTGAAGAAAAATAGAAGAATTAATGTTTCAATTGCTCAAAAAATTTATGTTTACTAATCGAGTTCATAAAAAAAAACTACAATTTTACCCCAAAATGAGATAGAAAAGATACAACATAAATAAAAATTATGTTTATACATTTGTACTCATTTATATTTAAATAAAAAGAAACACTCATCTTATGAGTAAACAATTGAAATTTTTGGTAATACCCTTATCAGCGCAAAATTATTCTTGCACCCATACACATAAATAGTATGTACATATATGTTTATGAATCATAATCATAAAAAACCCATTTTTTTATTCTTCTTATTCTTTATGCACTAGCACAGAAGCTGCGTCATGTATTAAAAAATAAAAATAAATAAAATACAGTACATATTTCAAGTATCAATCCACAATGTTTACTTCGAGTTAAAATTATTACATTTTTCGAAGAAATATGCAATTAATTACCTCAAAAAATAGCTATAAGAAGTGTACAACAAAGTAAATCAATAGGCGTCTTCATCTAAAGTGATAAAGGGATAAATTGCTTAAATTTATTAGTTTAGCCGCATTCTTACTTGAACCCACCTTGGTAAATAATTGCATATAATTGTTTATTATTTAACTTTTATGGCTAGTTACGTTTCATGCTTACATTGTCCATTATGTTCATTTGCTTTTTATGTGTTCGTAGCAAAAGCGACCAGCTGGCAACCTGTCAGCATTGAATTTCGTTTAAATATTTAGATTTCCATACAAAGTTTGACAGTCAAAATTATAAATTAATTAATTTATGAAGTTTATCAGAAGTTTATCACTTTTGATGAAGACCCCTAATATGAAGCTTGTTATTGAATATAAATGATAATAACCCCGCCATCAACCATAAACATCTGAAAATGTAGTTTTAGCGAGCAAATTTGATTGAAGAACGCCCTATTTCAGAATTTTATTGAAAACCACCCTATCTCAGAATTTTGTTGACGAACGCCCTATCTCAGCTGAAAATATATAGAAAATGTGCTAACATACGGTGTTTTTGTAACTAATTCTGAAATAGGGCTTTCTTCAACCAAATTCTGAAATAGGACGTTTTTGAAAAGTTTTTTAAGATTTTAAGCAGTCGATTTCTGAAGTGATTGAAGAAGGATTTGCCAAGTTAAACTCTAATTATTTAATAAGTTAAATGAATTGTTGCAATATGGATATCAAACGAAAAGGTTTGGAAAAAGCTTCATTTCTAAAACACATGCAAGTTGCCACCTATTTAAAAAGTAAAATTGAACTTAATTTCAGAGAGTGAGATATTCAAATATGGGTGTCAGACGAAAGACGTTTATAAAGTTCTAGTTTGAAAATACTTTGAAGGGGATTGAAATAATAAAAATTTGAAAAACTTCTATGTTTTTGGCAAAGTCAAACAAAAAATACGTTTTAAGCTAATTCTAGAATGAATATGTGTATGCTTTTACGATATAGCAAATGCTTTTGAGATAGAGGATTCGGGAAAAATAGTCTCGTTGAATAAAAGTATTAGCTTGACCTTTAAAATTACCCAAAAAAGGTTTTCTTTTTTTCTTTTTTTTATCAAAAGGAAAAAATTAAAAATTTTAACAATTAAAAATTTTAAATTTTTAGGTCAGATAATTTTTCGTTCAATCCGACCTTTAAAATGACATTTCTTAACAAAAACAGCTTTCCCCATCTCAAAAGCTTTAAAATACCGTTACAGTTTTTTGCTATCTCTTCACGTTCTCGAGATACATATATCTGACTTTGTCCCTTTTTTTTCAAAATAGAATATAGTGCGACGCTGCATACAGATGTATACATACTATACGTATAAATATATTTCGGTACTTATACAATTATTTATATTAAACATTTTCGTTAACTTTGATAATGCACACTGCATATTTATTTAGCAAAGAAAAGCGATGTAGATATGTGCGTACATACATATGTATGGACGACCAAGTGTGTATACATACATACATATGTACATATGCATCTATAAGTAGGTATGTACATATGTACAAAGTAAATACTTTCTTAAACATACAGTAAAAACAAACAAATACTTACACCCTTAATGATAACAAGTTGAGTCGCGCAAATAAGAAACCACAGCTTCGAAAACATTTTAATTTTAATTAAAAAAACTTGCTTTCACCAAAAAATGCACTGCCTATTTTACTTGTTTATATGGTTGTGCCAATCTTTTTGTTTTTTAAATTGCTTTTTAAATTACTTTTATTACTTCATTTAAACAATTTCAAAATATTCAGGTGGTTGCACTGCATAGTTTTTATGGCTTTAATATTTACTTATGTACATACATACATTCATATGTGTGCACGTATAGATATGCCTTTTTCCAAGTCACTCTTTATCAAGTCGCACACACGAATTTTTTCTTAAACAGAAACACTACAACGAATCCCGCGTACTTTTCGACAAATACGGTGGTGTTTTCCCAACGAGCTGTATTTGCGTTTTAAAAGCAAACAGACGTTCTTAATTTCAATTAAGCGCCTACAGCTCCAGCTCCTGCTTCGTATCTCATGGTAGACACAATTAAGATTGTGTAGTGCCAGTGAAATGAGAGCAAAATTAAAATCATTTGAATGTTCAATGGATTCGTTAAATACATTCTTACATTATGTATGTATGTATATACACATATTGTTGTATATGTGTGCATACGTACAAACGTACATATATTTGCATGCTCCTAAATACAAGTGCAGGTTCAGGGTTCTGTTTATGCTGCGGGAGTAACTAAAAGAAGCACATAAATAAAGTGCTACATAAATGAACTTATGAGTACTACAAGTGAGTGTAGTATGCAAAAAATGTATGCTTAGAAACGCTCATGTAGTATATGCACTTACAAAAATATGTATGTATGCCAATAAATAATAAATTCATGTTCAATATTATAAATTACACTCGTGGCCTTCTTGTCTTAGTATCGTCAAAACAAACTAATCAACAACGATTATCGCTAGTGGCAATCTCTAGACCTTTTTGTCACATATATATTGACACAAACATCCATCAATTGGTATTCTTATCAGGGACTTGAGAGATTTAACTGCATTGAGCTACATATATAATGCGTCTCTTGTAAATACAAATCTGAATTATTTTGATTATTTTTGCATTTAGAAAATAATTTGTGTAATAAATCATACATATTTGCAGAGCATTATTATTGCGCTGATACCCAAACAGGAACCGGGAATTCCCAAGAGACGAGAAATAACTATGACGTATTGAGGTCTTGTTGTTGTAGCAGCATTGCCAAGACATTAAACATTCCAATATGTGCGTGGCCCGCGATATTATCCAGTTGAACATACAGGAAAACTGCGTTTTTGAACATATTTATACTCTACTGGTGTATAAAGTAAATCGGTCACATGCACAGCTTATTTTAAGTGTAAGCCGAGGTAACCTAAAGTTTAATGGGAAAAAGAAACTCATTGAAAATGTGCATATATTACATTTCAGTAAAAAAAAACAATTTTCTGCTCACGACTGCGCCTTTATATGTATAACTAGAAAGTAAAAGGCGTGATAATTTCCATTTAAGGAACAGCATTTTCTATTTACGAGTCTCTTCACTTTTTGTTACATTTGAGGGTTTCTCTAGAGATTTTTCTTCAGTTTTTGTTGTAAGAGTTTGCATTCTAACCCACATTCGTTCATATGGGTTCGAAACTTCCGAATTAGTAAGTGGAATACCAAGTGAGCGGCGTACTACAGGTGAAGCCAGCAGCAGATTTTGTGCTAAACCGTGACAACTAGAAGCCACCCAATAAACGCAAAGAGCCTGTAATATTAAAAACAAAAATAACCAAAAGTAATATATCTATATCTACGTTTCTACAAATTTTTGGTATCTTACCGATGGCACAGAACAGGCCACTGGTACCAATGCAATAGTCAGCAAACGAAACACATTTGTGGCATATTTTTGCAAACGTGTTGTGGGACGCGTACGCAATACAGTTTGCAACTAAAAGAAATTAAGAGTTTAAAAACTTTCACTAAAGCTACATAAATATCGCTGGCTCTTACCTCTATTATGCCCAAGTTAATTAGAGCAAGTGAAACAGGAAGAATGTAAGAGCTGTCTACTTCCGTTAGATTCGGTATCCACCCAAAGCCACCTATTGTCATTTCAGTGTAAATAATTTGTGCCTGCAGCGTTGTGGGGTCAGGCATCATATGCACAAGATTTCTCAATGCAACTGATTGGCATATCCATAATGGTATTTGACCCCAGAGCATAATGAAGGTTTTCGCCGGATGACAATTATCGCGTACAATTAACGCATTCCATTGCTTTTTCAACTGAGAATAAAATCCAACAAATTATTTTAAATTCATTAAATGAATCATGTCATTCATTAACTTACGCACCGACCGGTTGTACACTAGTCTAGTTTGGCTTTCGGTCCAATTGAACTTCTTCATAGCCATGGCAGCTTCCTTCTTCAATTCGGCAACAATTGCAGGCATTTCTAATGCTAATAATTCTAAGCGTGCCATTATTTTATTTTGATATATAGCCAAGGGCAGCGTTATTACGGTGCGAAATAGCATTGTGGACACAACAATTGAAGCCCACCATGGTAGTCCGCTGTAGTCATGTATCGCTGTCAATGCTTCCTGCATGCAACCAACTGGTGCACTTTGTGACAGGGTTAGCCATATGCCTGTGAACGGAGATTGCACTTGTTCTGTTATAATTGCAGTACTATTGGTGGCGGTTTCCGCAAGTCCACGGTGTTGCATTCGCAGAACACCAACATTTGAGGTTGTACTGCTACTGGCATCAGTCAATTGTTTTCTTAAACTATTTGTTGAAGAGATGTAGGAAAAAGAACGCTCACATATGGAAAATTGAGTGCTGTGAAACAAGCGTATTGCGTTTTTGCACCGTAAAATTCCGAAATTATTCATTTTTTAACAGAATTAAAAATTTAAAAAAGTGTTATGCATGGAGTAAACAAAACAAAATCGAAAACAGCTGTGAATGTCACTCGACGTCATTTATGTAAGTGCTGGTAAACGCTTGACGTAAATATGGATGCCGGATGTAAAAAAAAATTATAATCCAAGTTCCCGCAAAGAACGTAAATGTATAAGAAGCGACAACTCGCTAAAGTCAGCGAGTGAGGTCTGAAAGGTTGAGATGAGGCGTTCGCATCCGTTTTAACATCCATTTTCGTAAATGAATTCGCCGCACATTTGGTTTCGCGGCGATAAAGAACGTTGAGAAAAAGTGATCGATGATAGAAATAATAAAACAAAATGAAAAAAAACATGGCCGCAGCTCTTTTTGTTTATTTGCAGACGGCATAAAATACACTTTTTCAATCACTTGTGCAAAATAATCACCGGCATTCACATTTGCCGCTTTTCTTCTTTTTTGTTTGCTTTTTCCGCATTCGAGGCGAAAATCAAAAATCTGCTGCGGAGAGTTAAAAGGGAGACGAACTCTCATCTCAACCTTTCAGATACGGTCAAAATCGTTCCAGCACATTTTCAAAGTAACGAGTTGTCGCTTCTTATACATTTACGTTCTTTGGTTGAAATAAGATTAAGCCATAGGGTGTAAATACAATATTATTTGTATGCATATACTAAAACGAACACAGCTGGCAGTATTGAAAGATTTTTTATCGAATATGTGTTGAAAAAAGTAGCAAATCAAAGGCATAAAAATAAAAGTTATTTTGCAATAGACGCATTACAAAAGTCGTTTTAGTATAATTTAAGCAAAGAAAAATTACTAAAGAACTGAAAATTTGGAAAAAGCGGTAAGCTGAAATCTGTAATTTGAATATAAAATTGGAATAAAGTAAATAAGGGCAGGAACCCAATTTTTGTTCTCAAAATTTTTAGTTTTACAAAATCACAGACACTTCATTTTTGCGTCGTTAATTGTACGTGTCGCTTTGCAAAACAAAAAATAAATACAGAAACAAAAACAATTAAAATACCATCATTGTAAAACAAAGGATTTTAGCTGTTTGGTTTAAGGGTAATTTGGGTAGCAGAAGTAAAATGATGATAAATAATTTTTTATTGTAGGTAGTTGGGGGGAAAATTGTGAAAGCAGACGAGTGGAAATCGAAGTCACAGTGACGCAGATAAGGGCGAAAAGTGAGATTGTAAAAGACTCGCTTAGTGCCTATTATACGCGTAAATATGAGCCGTTGTGTTACGCCAGAATGGGATCGGATACCTACTCTCGTATTGGGAAACATATATGAATATCTCGAGCCAAGGATCGATTAAATGCATCGCAGACATGCCGTCACTGGCGTGGGGTGCTCTTCCAAAAGAGGTGTGTATTCTAGATATATATATTGCTTTGGTTTACATACTAGATACATATGTATATACTGAGTAGGTATGTGTGTATGTATGTATATAGTGTATTGCCATTGTGGATCTACAGTAGGCCGTTTCCGTTACTGCTTGATACATTTTTTTAGATAAAAAAATTTGATTTAACTCGCAGATTTTTCAACAACTTCAAATTAAAGTTGCACGTCAACAATGAGCGGCAGTGTACGTTTTTTCGTCAAACGCTTTGTAATTTGGCAACTGAAGTAACGCTCATATTTGATTTTCTAAATGTTTTCCATATCGAAAAGATAAGGCGTATCCTCTATAGGTGTGTATCAAAATACTTTATGTTCCTATCATAATTTGTTATAACCGTATTAGTAATAATAACTATTTTGTTTTTCATTTTGAAGGATTGCACGTTGTGATAATTTGCAAGGCCTACATTTTTACACTAACAATGTTGGCTTAATCCCACCTGGCGATATAAGTGAAGAGAGCCTTGTCGACATTGAACAGTATGAATTGCTTAATTAGATTAATTTGTAAAACATATACTTACATATAAATTTATATCGTATTTTTAGATGCTTTGTGGACCGTGAAAATGTTTTTAAATCGCAAAAAATATCCATGCCAAATTTTGGATTTAGGTGCAATCGAAGCTTTAACCTACTACGGTTTAGATGTACTAAAAGCTTTAAGCAAACCTGAAGCATTACAGCAGCTAACATTGGCTTCGATTAAATTCGATCCTAGTCATTATCCCATATTTACCTTAGAAACTACTTTGCTGCAAAAGTGCACATCACTACAGGTTAAAATTATAAATATCTTCTATATTTATTTACTTAATTTATTATACTAATTTTTTATTTAAGGTTTTATCACTCGATTACGATACCCTCAACGACGAGCTACTGCGTGCCATGGAAATTCTACCCTTGAAAAAGCTCTTAATTTGTATACATGGCTTGGATCGTCAGCATCCTGGTATTTCCGATATAGCTTGGACTAGATTTGGTGCCTCCTTTCCGAATATCGAATTAATTGTATCTTTAGTGTACGCCTTCGAAGCCGTGGAAGTGCTGCAAGTGCGCATATTGCGTCACAATATGCCAATAACACATTTGAGAGTATTATTTTGTGACTTTGTAAGTAATAATATTTTCATCGCCAATTTATTTTGGGCTGTATAGTATTTATTTGTTCTTAAATCCATTTTAGATGAACGTCGAGGCCTTAGAGTGGATGTCGGTCAATAATAGCAATACACTGAAGAGTATCCAGTGGATAGATTCAGTTAGTTTACATACACACTTATATTAAAAGCTCATTCACTGAGGTTTTTTTGTATTTTTGGCAGGCCTACAAGCATTCCGATAAAAATGTGATGGATTTATTTTTACGCTCCGGGCAAGATCCTTTCGTAATGATGTCTTGGCGTTGCAAAAACTTAGAGGAAATCGTTATACATGGCTATGTGCTAGATCCACACAATATTGTTGGGATTTCACGCCTTCGTGGCCATACACTCAAACGCCTAGAAGTATCTATGATCGATAACACTCCCACAGAAGCAAGCATGGATTCATTTATTGAAGTAAATCAGTGTTTATTAAGCAATTATGTATAAGATTACTAGCATACATTATCTCTTACAGGAAATCAATACATTGCTTGGTCAAAAATGGGAGCCTCTCAATCCAAATACTTTACATCCTGCACTCGGTTACATACCAGTGTCAGATGATGTACGTGATGAATACGTTTTCGATCTCATGCGTCGTGATATGGGCTACTAAAATATAATAATTGCACCAACTCATACCACAATTTTTATGCAAATTTAGGTAAGTTTTAAGTAACTTTGTTTATTATTGGCGTCAGTAAAATCATTTTTTTACTTGTAGGTTTACTGTAGTTATATTATCAAAAACACAAGTACGTAAAAGCATACATGTTCGATATGGCAGAACATGTGCGGGTGTGCAAAAATGACGCTCACAAGGAAAAAATACCTTAAGAATCAAGCGTCAAAAAACAACAGCAACCAAAGTCAAACGAAAGTGCGATCATAAAGGCTTTGCAGTGATATTTTATTTCTATAATTTTAAAACTACATCAGTCCAGGCAAAGAAAAAACAAAACTAATGAACATTAGCTAAAATGAACATCATTTAAGTATTGCAAAGAAAAAAAAAAATCAACAACAATATCTTATATAAAGATTAGAGTTATAAAAGAACACTAAAACGAAAAATGGAGAAGCATCAAAACTCAATTACCTACGTATTCATAAAAACTAACAAATATATTTAGGCGATAATAGTTTAAGGAAAAACAATAACAACTACTCCTGTGATAAAGGAGAAAATAAATTAATATGTATGCACATATACAATAATACAATATTGATTGGTGGCTCAAGTGCAACGTTAAACATACAAAGATCCTTAAGAAGAAATCACGCATTGCTCCCAAAAAAAAAAACAACAACAAACAATTGAATTGTAATGGAGACCAAGTACAATTGTTACCACATTTGGTTTTTTTTACCATCAATAACGATGAAAAAGAAATGCCATAAACACGAAAAACGAAATAGCGTGGAAATCTAACAAGAAGGCATAGTCTAGTTGTGCTCCTATATTAATCAAGAAAGCATTCTAACTTAATTTTTTTATATTTATTATGTGTGCATTACACAGGCTTAATGTAACAACAAGAACAATGTAGATTTCATCCCAATCTGCGTATGTAACTTTATTCATAATTTTTTATATAGACATATGTACGTATACAAACCAATAAGCAATGTGTTTATAACTGCAACACGAACATATATTCCATATTACTTTATTTCTTCGCTTTATAAAAAATAATCTACTTACATACTACAATGAAATTAAATTTACTTGATTTATAGTTGATTATGCTTGGTTCAATCATGAAAAATGGCATATTTTTATAACGAAAAAATTGAAGTGCACACCGGTTCAATTTACGCCTACGGCCGAAAAGTTTATTGTATTTATGCTCATTTATGTAATCTTAAAACTTTTGATTGCATAAAATTTACAATACTAGACTAATATTATTTAAGCCAATGCTTAACGCTAAAAAAAATATAAGTTTATTGTTATTATTATTATTATTCCAATCGATGTCAAAAGCAAATTTTTCGAAATTATAACACCAAAGGGGGATAGAATTTATGCATATATGAGCAAATCCCACGAGTGGTTCACCTACCTTAGAAAATACACTATCTTCAGTTTTGTATAGAGAACAAGATTCCATCGCGAAATTGTATTTAAATGAAAACTTAAAAAAGATATACCAAAAAAGTAGAAATAACCACAATGCACAATTTGTAAAAATGGAATTTTAGTTTTTCAAATCATCTTTTACTCAGTGTAATTATTTTTCATTTGGTGAGACTTGAGGATAGTCTTATACTAAATTCGTTCGTTTGGAAAGAAGCACATTTTCACCGTTAAAAAAAAATTGTTTAATTTCAAAAATTACAAGATAGCTGCGACAGATATTCTACATGCTGCCATTTTTTTTATTTTCGTGGTGCACTCTTGAAACTTCACACTTATGTTTTATATGAGGCCAACTTTCATTGCCTCTAACATGAACATTCTATTTGAAAACTTTCCAATGCTATTTAAAAAATAAATATATGATCCTTTCGAGTGGCAATACAAAAATGATCAATTTCGTTACTTTTTTGCCTAAAAACATTTTAAGGGTAAAATTATTCAAATACTTAAAATATTTTGTACAAATACAAGAAGAATGTTTTTNTTTTTTTTTTTCTTGCCGAGAGAAGGGAATGACACTAAAAAAAAAACAACTCGTGGGATTTGCTCATATGCACATATATATTATATATATATATAACATCGAGTATTAAGCAGAAACGCACACGAAATAGAAGAGACAAAGCTGCTTGGAGCCCTTTCTACACCTGCCATAGGCGCTCTTTCGTAGTAAAATTAAAAAATACTTATACTATTTTGTGATTTCTTTTTTTATGCAGAATTTAATGCAGCTCTAAAGGTTATCTAACAGTGTAATTAAATATAGTTCATAATAATTTTGTTAACTGCATTTTAAGTCCACATTACACACAAGCGACATACATAAAGACATCATTCTAATTAAGTTCAATGACACGAACATGAAAAACAAAATGAAAATCTGTAAGGTAGATGCATTTTTTTTGTTTGCAAAAATACTAAAAGCATTCAAATTATTTATTATACATACATACATCAAGGAAATTTTTTTTAAAGAACGCTTTTCAGTATGTGCTTATGTATGTACGCATATTTGATTAAAAGCAAATGGCTGTTTTTTTTTTTTTGTGTAAGAACACTATATGTGTATGTAATTGTGTAGAAACATTATTTGTAAAAAAAACAAAGAGATTTAAAAGACTTAGGACCGACTTTTCAAGTCAGTTTTAAAATTTAGCGGGCCTTTAAACACAAAATTGTGTGCTAAAAAAAAATGTGTGTTGAAGGGTAAATAAATTTTAATAGCTACTTGAGAAAACGGTTATTAAACACCTGGAACGAAGGCGAATGCGAATGCGAAGCAGATGAAGAATGTGCAAAATAACTTAAATGATGTGTATTCCGCACGAAACAACAAATGGAATCTCGAATGCCCTCAAAACAGATATTAAGTGAATAACAACAACAACAACATTAATACATATTTTGTTTAATGTGAACCAAAGCTGTGATTTAATGCAAGCCAGCATACGTTAAGAATGCAACCCCAACAACAACAACAACAACAACATTAACAACAAAAAGAAAACACGACTACCACAACAACAACAACAAGTAGAAAATCCATTGTAAGATTGAAGAACAAATAATATAATGCAATTAAAATGTTTAGATTAGTTAAGTAAGATCTGTTGACAGCGAAAAACAAAAACAAAAAATGAAAGCAAGAAATGCCGGCATGTTGATATTAGCAGAGAGCTTAAGTTATTTAGCATAAATAGCAGTAATTATTTTGCAAAATACAAAACAATACTGTTATTTAGTTTGCACGCTAACAATATATTCCCATTTGTTTGACCGCCACCGTATGTATACCGTATGTTTACCGGGAGTAGTAATTTACATTTTAGGCATCGATAAGTAAGTGTTAGGGGTTTTCAAAACTTTTGAAGATTTTATCGTTATATTTTCGCGACCATTCAGAATTACTTCGAGTTTTACATTCAAGAATTATTTACAGCAACTTGGGATTTTACGTTATTTTGTATGGTTTTTCGAGATTTTCGTGAACTTTCCGCTCCGCTCTTAACTTGGTTTATAATGAGTACTTAAAATAAAAAAGCAGAAATAGCCGTGTGTGTTAAAAAAAATAAAATTATGCCCAATTTTAGAATTGTAAATTTACTTTAATGTCCCAAGAAAATTTGGCTTAAACCCGAATATGCAACAAATTTCATACAAATTTTAATAGTAAAGTAAATTTAAGGATTTTTTGGGATTCTGAGTTTTTTTGCTGATTAAGAAAATACGTTTTTTTTTATCTTCTGAGATCCATTTCATTGAACTAGGCGATATCTCCCATCTCCCATTACAATAAATATCTATCTAAGTTAGTATTAATTTCATAAATTTTATTTGTGTGTTTTTTTTTTCTTGCTCTCTGCTAAATCATACAACTAATTGGTTAGTTAGTCATCTTTAAATGTTAAGCTCAAATGTCAACAATGCTCAAAGATGCTGGTAAAGCGTGCATAATTGCATATTAGCATGTATGTATGTATGTCGGTATGTATATTCGTGTGTAGGTATTATAAAAATATTTAACAGCATAAATGAATTTTAAGAACTCAAAGAATGTGGTACAAATACAAATACTTAGAAAAATTCCAACTTAATATTTATGTATATAGTACCGCTAAATGCACGAAACGAAGAACAAACGAAAAAATCAAAGGTATGTATTACAAGCAACAACAACAACAACAGCAACAAACAAACAAATTGTGATGAAAAGTATAACTATGAATATATCAAACACCGTAATTTAGGGAGGAGAGAATTGAAAGACAACAAACAAACACAGAAATCCAGCAAATTTATCTAAACAGCATGTGTATGCGCGAGTTAAAAAAATGAAAACTAAATAAATATGTAGTATGTATGTATGTATGTACGTAAGAACAAAATGCAAATGCAATTGCAGTCAGGGCAGATATGAATAACAAAAATGTATTGTATGTATGTATGTATGTATGTATAGTGCGTACCACATGAATGTACTGTACTAATCTATCTAATGTACGATTGTGTGTGTACGCATACATATATTTTGCAATTTAATTGATATGTGATATGCGCGTCCGNGAACAACAACAACAACAATTGTAGTTATAACTATACATATATATATATGTAAACTGGCAATAAGGCAATCTGCTGTTTACCAACTACGAGTACCTTGCAGGCAACAACAACTACTATAAAAAAATAAAATAAAATCGCAAGGATTTGCCAAAAAGCAAATTTTTATACATATTGTACATATAAACATCATTGTGCTATAAGAAATGATTGGAAAATCAGCAATCAATAAATGAATGTGATGCTAAATGAATACAACTTGAAATCTAAACAACTCTCTACACATACTACTGCGAGTACTAAAACTATCAATTTATAGTGTTCCACAAATAACTGAAGCGCTAAAGATATTTGAAATCTGTATACTAATAATGTAGGATTTATTTTGTGCAGTGGTGGTTTATATTTATAATTTTTTATAAGCTGGCTAATAATTTTTTATTTACTTTTTTTTCAAAAATATAGTTTATATTACAATGAAAACCATCAACTAAAGTTACAAACCTTGTACAGGATTTATAAAAATTGCCAAATTAAACAAAAAAAAAATAGTCAGCAAAATTTCAAACTTTTTAATCAGAATTTCTAGAAAAATTAAGGTACTCATTTTTAGTATAATATTGTTCAAGCTTCAAGTGGCTAAGCCCGGTTTCGGCGTTGTGCCATTTTCAGTGTCATTTTTCGTTCTCAAAAATCAACAAACACCAACACGTTTATTATTATTAGCCAAAACCTTTGTATCGACTAAAACTACTTTGTTGACGCTATGCGTAATCTTCTGTGGTCTTGAAACAATCTTTTTTTTTGCTTTTAGTTTTGATATCGTTGCATAGACCGTAATCCTCAGATGCCAGGTTTTTCCCTTTTTTTTGTGGGCCTTCATCCTATGAAAGTTGCTCTCAGTTTTGTCCTCGATTTATTAATGTTATATTTTGGAACTTGTACACAAAGTAAATTTAGCTATTGTGACCGCGCAGTGTGTGTGTGTGTGTGGACTCGTTGTAGACAGTGGTGATAGCGATGTGTCAGCAGATGCCAATAACCAGGGCCGCCAGGAGAAAATCCGGGCCCGGTACTAAATAAATATGTACATATGTAAATTAAAGCTTCAAACTTCATACAGAATTCTCAGAAATATTTGTAAAATTTAAACAACTCGACGACTGATATTTCCATCCCTTTCCTTGCCAATTCGCCGGCCATGGAGTTGCCTGGAATTAGCCTGTGCTCAGGCACCCATACAACAGACACCGCGTATTTAGATGCAATCAAGCAACTTTGGACACTGTTTTGTTGGATTTTAGAGTTTTAATAGCAGTTTGGCTGTCAGAATATGAATAGAATATATATATGCATACATATATAGTGATAGATCGCCTGGAAGATCGGAAGCTGTTAGCCACCGAGCGGCTTCCATTATGGCATTTAGCTTTTACCAATCAAGGCTACAGTTGTCGGGAAAGCGAGTCTAGGTCTGTGGCAACTTCTCATTCTCTAAAATTTGCCAGAAATTTGCCATAATTTGCCAGAGATCCACCTGTGGTGTGTAAGTGAGAATTTCGATATTATTAGAATACAGATTTCGAATATTTTTTGGTTGATATGTATGTAGTTGAAGCGAGCTGCACAAATATCTTGTGAAACATTTACACATACAAACATACATCAGTATACAACAAGACCTTTTTTAATGTTTTGATTTCTAAGTTAAGCTATACGTAAATTAAGTTGTCTATTTTTATTTTTGAATATTAAAAAATTATTCAAATAAAAAAAAACGGTGAATGCGATGTCTTTCATAAGAAAAAATAAACAAATTTTAATTTCTTAATTCGATATAACATTAAAATTAATATTTTGGCTATTAACTCTGTATTTTTTCAATCACATTGTATATTCCCAATTATCACGAAGTTATATTTTACCATTTTTTAGTTTTTAATGTTTTTTGTTTTAATTATATATTCAAAAATAATTAATAAAGTTGTAAAGCTTTGAAATTTTTAGTGGTTTTTAATTTATTTATTTAAATAGGAGAAGAAGCTCGGCCAAACACTTAGCGAAAATGTAGTGCCAAAATATTATTATCGTACGCATAGAAAATCATCGTGGCTTAAATTTTTTATTGCCAAATCGTTGGTTTATAATTATTGTTTTTTTCAAAGATAATAATTATTTTAAAAAAGAAGTGTTTTAAAAATTTTTTTTTCAAAGCGCAGTTGTGGCCACGCAAAAAAATATTTTTTTTTCGAATATTTATTTTGAACAAAATTTAGAAAATTTGTATCTATATTGTTTTTGTTACAGTGTTATCTATATTTGATTTTTTTTTTGTTCATTTACGAAATTATACCTAATTTTTTTTTAAATGGTGGTAAGGTTTTCGTACCTACAAGTGTATTTTCAAATCGGTCCAGAAACCTTAAAATATAGTTAGGTACTTGTATAGGTCCGTTCGAAAAACAGCAACTTTTTTTTTGGTGAGGCACCCTAATGTAAATACGTCAAATGAGACAGATTTCTTTTATGAATTTGACATGGAGTATGATGGCCATGGTCTTGTAATCCTTGTTAAGTTAAAACCCACTTAAAAACGATTTAGAAATACTCCAGAAATGCAAATTATCAGACACGGACTGTTGAATGATTAAGAGTAGAACTCCACATGTGATTCCACTGCTCACGTATGGCGGTTTGTTTAAAAGCGCTCTCTGAGAGCATGTTTGAGACTTGGGTGGCTAATAACCAGGGCTCGAATCTTCACACACGATATCATACTCGGATTTGTCCCATTCAGCTTATATGGCCTGACGTATCACGTACATTTCTTTCGTATCGTGAACGG